CCCGCCCCTGCCACCGCCCCCGCCGCTGCCGTCACCACCCCCACCGCTGCCACTAGTCTCTCCAGCCCCACCACCATTCCCACCGCCTCCACCCCCGCCTCCCCCGCCGCCACCTCCACCCTTGCCCCCTCTGTTCCTGCGGCGCCCGCTCGGAGCAGACGCAGTCCCGACCTTCTCAGCACCAAGGAGGTCGACAGCAGAAGCAGAGGCTACAGAGGGAAGAAGGGGGGAAGGGGAACACCCCTCAAAGAAAGGGGTGCGGGGGTCGCCACGAGAGGCACCTACAGCGACGATGCTCGCCTCAGCTGCAAGTAGTTCCTTCTCGAGGAGGGCAATGGTGAGCTCAGTGGGGCAGCGAGCTAGGAAGTGATCCCTGACTGCGCGCAGAGAGTCAGGGAGGCGGGTGACGATGTGGTAGAGAGTGAGCCAGAGCGGGGGGGGGTTCCTAGCAAGGAACTCATCGGGCATAGCAGCACGGAAGCGGGCCTCACTAGTCTTGAGGTGGGTGATGAGGTCAGCAACTGTGTGAAAGGAGGCCAGGTCGGGGAACAGGTAGGGGAGTGAGAGGCGGCCTAGTGCGGCAGAAGCAGGTGAGGAGTAGCGAGCAACGACAGCAGTGTACAGTTCCTTAGCAGTCTTGTGCTGGCCAAAGTGCTCGCGCTCATCTATCGGCAGGGAGTTGCGAATAGCAAAGCGAGCGTGGGCGTCACGAGTCTGCCACTGTGAGCGGGCAGTGCTGTCAGCAGTAGTAGGAGGGGCAGTAGTATGGCCGAGGGCATGATCGTACAGTGAGACGTCCTCCTTGGCAGTGAGCTGTAGGAAGAGGTGCAGGTCATCTAGCCAGGTGTCAAATTTCACTGGGCGGCCCTCAGCATCGAAAGCTAGCACAGGAGGACTAGCCATAGTAGCAGTAGTAGTAGCAGTAGGTGCACCCTAAACGCAGTAGGCAGCGCGACTCAGGTAGGGCGGCTCGTTTCTGGCGGGGCCGTGGCTGTCGAGTGCGGGGCGTTAAGGGGCGGCAGGTAGGATCGACGGGGCCGCTAAGGGGCGGTGCGCGGGGTCGACGGGGCCAGAGGGGGCGGCGCGCGGGGTCGACGGGGCCGCTAGGGCCTCTAGGCGGGGCGCACGCTAGGTCGACGGGGCCGGCGGGGCCTCTAGGCGGGTCGCGAGCGGGGTCGACGGGGCCGGCGGGGCCTCTAGGCGGGGCGCGAGCGGGGTCGACGGGGTCGGCGGGGCCTCTAGGCGGGTCGCGAGCGAGGTCGACGGGGCCGGCGGGGCCTCTAGGCGGGCCGCGAGCGGGGTCGACGGGGCCGGCGGGGCCTCTAGGCGGGTCGCGAGCGGGGTCGACGGGGCCGGCGGGGCCTCTAGGCGGGGCGCGAGTGGGGTCGACGGGGCCGGCGGGGCCTCTAGGCGGGTCGCGAGCGGGGTCGACGGGGCCGGCGGGGCCTCTAGGCGGGGCGCGCGCGGGGTCGACGGGGCCAGCGGGGCCTCTAGGCAGGTCGCGAGCAGGGTCGACGGGGCCAGCGGGGCCGAGAAAAACAAAAAAAAAAAAGAGAGAAGCGCGCGAGGGCGCTGGGGGGAGGCGCTAAGGCGCGCTCCGACAGTAGGGCGCACGAGGGCGCTAGTAGACAGTCAGTAGTGGTGGGCCCGGAAAAAATTAGGTCCTAGCGAAGGACAGGCTCTGAAACCATGTCAGAATAACTGAAGCAGGAATGAATGAACTAGCAGAAAGTTTGGTACAAGTAGGAAACCCTAAGTTTGTGTACCCCCTAAGGTGTAACCCACTACAGCCTACACAACATAAACATACAATGTTTGACACATAGATCCGATAGGTTAAAACAGGGTAGAGGGGTGAGGAATGGAATAAGGAAATAGGAATACATATGGTATTCATTGTATTTGTACAAAGAGAATAATGCGTCGGTCGATTTGGTCAGAATGCACACTTGTGTGTAGCAACAAGGCGGAGCTCGAACTCTGAAATCTCCCAAATTATGTGGATCGGAAAGGTTATAAGCTAGTGTTATTGAAGTAGAAGGCCTAATCTAGTGGACTGGTAAGAATATGGTACTAACTGCATCTCTACAAACATAAGTAATGCGCTGGTCAGTTTGGTCGGCATGCGCGCCTGTAGTGCATGTACCATGTACGACTGAAATGTCTGTATCCGATAAATTACATAGATCTGAAAGGTCAAAACATGGTCGAGGGGTGAGGAATGGTATAAGGAAATGGGAATATATATGGTATTCATTGTATTTGTACAAAGAGAATAATGCGTCGGTCGGTTCGGTCAGAATGCACACTTGTGTGTAGCTACAAGGCGGAGCTCGAACTCTGAAATCTCCCAAATTATGTGGATCGGAAAGGTTATAAGCTAGTGTTGTTGAAAAAGAAGGCCAGATCTAGTGGACTGTTAAGTATATGGTACTAACTGCATCTCTAAAAACATCAGTAATGTGCTCGTCAGTTTGGTCAGTATGCGCGCTTGTAGTTCATATACCATGTACGACTGAAATGTCTATATCTGCTAAATTAAGTAGATCCTATAGGCTAAAACATGGTCGAGGGTTGAGGAATGGTATAAGGAAATGGGAATATATATAGTATTCATTGTATTTGTACAACGATAATAATGCGTCGGTCTGTTCGGTCAAAATGCACACTTGTGTGTAGCTACAAGGCGGAGCTCGAACTCTGAAATCTCCCAAATTATGTGGATCAGAAAGGTTATAAGCTAGTGTTATTGAAGTAGAAGGCCTAATCTAGTGGACTGGCAAGAATATGGTACTAGCTGCATCTCTACAAGCATCAGTAATGCGCTCGTCAGTTTGGTCGGTATGCGCGCCTGTAGTGCATGTACCATGTACGACTGAAATGTCTATATCTGCTAAATTACATGGACCTGATAGGTTAAAACATGGTCGAAGGGTGAGGAATGGAATAATGAAATAGGAATACATATGGTATTCATTGTATTTGTACAAAGAGAATAATGCGTCGGTCGATTTGGTCAGAATGCACACTTGTGTGTAGCAACAAGGCGGAGCTCGAACTCTGAAATCTCCCAAATTATGTGGATCAGAAAGGTTATAAGCTAGTGTTATTGAAGTAGAAGGCCTAATCTAGTGGACTGGTAAGAATATGGTATTAACTACATCTCTAAAAACAACAGTAATGCGCTCATCAGTTTGGTCGGTATCTTGCATCATACATACATACGTGCGTTACTACCGGTTCGTGCTAGAATAAACCCTGGATGGGCCACCGTGGATCTATTGCGGATGCGGTTAGCTTCTAGGACAAGAATGCTATTCAAAATTACTCTATTGTACGTATTGCATGATAATCATGCCACTGGGAATAAAACGGTTGTCAGGCTCAATTGGTTCGATATATAATTTCAAAACTACCTGCATGTACTTATACAACCATAAACTGTAATGGTTGGTGCCACACCGTGCCAGGGAAGCAGTTGAGCTATCTAAGTGTACCGATCTTCTGTACACTGTATTTCAAAGATGACAGCTTATACTGAAGCTTGTTCTTGACGCATACGGTAGTAATCATCAAGCCGCGACCCTAGTGGCAATTGGTGCGTGTGATTCGTCATTCGTGAAAGTTGTTCGGTTTTAGTCTGTGTAGATTTCGAGCGCAGGTAGTTAGAAAGCTTCAGGAAGAAATCAGGGGTTCTGTATGCGCTTCCCATTGTCCCTGCATGTATTTTGAGACGACTCACATCTGTGACCTTGATATCTCCGTCAATGTGGCTTGTACAGAACTCCTCGACAATACCTAATCACCGCTTCATAATGTAGCTACCTACCTCGTTCTAACCGTTGAAGTGTATTTCATTTTGCTCTTAAAGTGTACATTCATGCCGCACTGCGGGCCGAGGTCGCGAAATGGACACGCAGGGAGTTTTGGAACTTCATGAACTGCGGGGAGTCGAGGGATCAGAGGGAGTTGAGGTGTCAGAGGGGATCGAGGGATCAGAGGGGGTTGAGGAATCACGGAACGCGAAAGACCTACGGTACAGCTTAACGCATGGCAGCAATCCAGATGGCGGGGAGAGGGAGACTACGATCGCAGAGGCACCTCAGAAGCAACCTAGTCCCAGCCACGCGAATGGCGGCGTTTTAGACGCGCCTCAGAAGCAACCTAGTCCTAGTCACGCAAATGACGATGGTGTGGAGAGGGGGGAGGGTGAGAAGCAACAGCAGCATGCCTTCGCTCCCTCCGCTCCCTCCCCCTCCTCCCCGCCTCCCCCTGTCCGCTGGTCCGTTGCGCCGTGCACGGAGGGGAGGCTTGAGGGGCCGCCGCCGCTCGAGATCGCGCCCGTGCCGGGGGAAGCGGAAGGGTGGGGGGGCGCGCCGAGTCCGGGGAAGGCGCGGGCGTGGGGGGAGTGGGGGGAGTCGGCGGAGTGGGCGGAGGTGGATTTGAAAGGCATTACGCTGACCAAGGAGATTGCGCGGGGGTCGTCCAGCGTGGTGTACAGAGGCGTGTACCGCAAGCAAAACGTTGCTGGTGGGTGCAGTGCGGTGAGGAGGGATGGGAGAGAGGAGTGGGACGGGGAAGAGGGTGTGGGTGAGGGGTCAAGGAGGAAGTGGTTGGTGGGGGTTGAGAGTGGTTGATGCTGAAAAGGTGGAGTGTTTTCCTTTGTACCACTTTTGAGAACTCTCACAGGAAGGGAAGACTTGCAGAGGGGACTTGTTTCCCCAGACCTCCCCTCCCTTCCTCGTGCTTTGCAGGGGCTATAGCTGCTTGCGTGCTTTCCCCAACCCTCCCCGCTCTCCACTCCCCATACCCGCCCTCCTCCCCTTGTGCGTGCGTCGCAGTGAAGGTGGTTGACCTAGGCAGTGACGACGGGTCATCGCTGCACGAGGTGCAGGACAGGAGGGCGGCCTTCTCTCCCCAACCCTACTCCCCTCTCCCCGCTCCCTACTCCCCACTCCCTACCCCGCTCCCTTGCCCCTCCCCGTGTGCGTGCGTCACAGTGAAAGTGGTTGACCTAGGCAGTGACGATGGCTCGTCGCTGCACGAGGTGCAGGACAGGAGGGCGGCGCTCATACGGGAGGTGATTATATGGAGCCGCCTCTCGCACCCCCACATTGTGCCGGTGAGTGTAAGGGGGGCAGCTTATAAGGAGGACGGCTCATACGGGAGGTGATTGTATGGAGCCGACTCTCGCACCCCCACATTGTGCCGGTGAGTGTGAGGTGTAAACGTAATCACCTCCCTGTCTGTCTGTTTGTGTCGGCTTATAAGGAGGATGGTTCGTACGGAAAGTGATTATATGGAGCCGCCTCACGCATGCATCCCCTCCCCATGTGCGTGTGCATCCCTCCCCCTCCAGGTGATAGGAGCACATATCCCCCTGCTCCCCCCCGAGGCCCACCCGTCCCCATCCCCCCCGAAAGCCAGGCAGCAGAGGGTGGACTCGCGCCTGCGGGGCGAGCAGGCGTGCGTTGTGAGGGGACTCGCGCCTGCGGGATGAGCAGGCGCTCATCCCGCCCTCCCCTCCTCACCCCCCTCTCCCTCTCCTCCCCCCAACAGGTGATAGGAGCGCATATCCCCCTTCTCTCCCCCGAGGCCCACCCATCCCCGTCCCCCCGAAAGCCGGGGCAGCAGAGGGTGGACTCGCGCCTGCGGGGCGAGCAGGCGTGCGTTGTCAGTCAGTTGATTGGCACGGGAGTGACTCTCAAGGAGTATTTGGCTCGCACTGCCAGGGAGAAGAGGAAACTGCCGCTGCACATGCTGGTGGATTTAGCCATGCAGCTCGCCAAGAGGTGAGGGAGGGTGGGAGAAGAGGGTGAGGGGGGGTTGATGTGCTTGTGGGCATGGGGATGTGTGCCCCGACCACGTGCTGCTCGACTCCTTACGTTCTTTTCACTCCTTTACCCCCTTGTCCCCCGACAATCCTCGTGCTGCGGGTGGGGCACGGGCATGGGGATGTGTGCCCCGACCACGTGCTGCTCGACTCGACTCCTCCTTGCGCCTGCACCTTAAGTACTGGCGCAACTCCTCTTGATTCTCCTCCTCTCCCTCCCGTCCCTACTCCTCTCCCCACTCGTACGGGTGGTGCACGGGGGGATGTGTGCCCCGCCCACGTGCTGCTCGACTCGACTCCTCCTTGCGCCTGCACCTCATTGCTGTTACCTTTTCCATTCTCCCATCCACCGTCCCTCCGCAACACCACACCAGCCTCGCCTTCCTACACTCCTTGAAGGTGGTGCACGGCGATGTGTGTCCCGATCACGTGCTTCTCGACTCCACCTTGTGCTTGCACCTCACCCGCCCATCCGTCCTCCTCTCCCCCAACCCAACCCACTCCCCTCTCACTCACAGCCTCGCCTTCCTACACTCCTTGAAGGTGGTGTATGGCCATGTGTGCCCCGATCACGTGCTGCTTGACTCCTCCCTGCACCTCACCCGCCCTCCCTCTCCCCAACTCCCCACCCAGCCTCGCCTTCCTACACTCGTTGAAGGTGGTGCATGGCGACGTGTGTCCCGATCACGTGCTGCTCGACTCCACCTTACGTCTGCACCTCGCGGGCTTCGCGTGTGCTTCTATCGAGGGCGACCTCGCATACAGTCACGCGGGCAGAGGGGAGGAGCGAGGCAATCCGAACTACATGGCTCCTGAGGTGAGTGGGACTGAGGTGAGCGAGCATGTGCCTGTTGTCCATGCTATCCCATCCCCATCCCCATCCCCAACCCTCCCAACCTCACTTCTTTTCTCCCTTCTCTCTCTCATTGCCCTCACCTCCTCTCCCTCCCCGTCAGGTGCTCAACTCCCTCCCATACGATTGCCAGGCAGACGTGTTTGCTTTTGGCATGTGCCTGATGTCCATGCTCTCCTGTGAGCCACCCTTCCCGAACCCTCTGCCTCCTCCACCCCTCCCCACCCCTCTCGTCCCCCATCAGGTGCTCAACTCCCTCCCATACGACCGTCAGGCGGACGTGTTCAGCTTCGGCATGTGCCTCTGGTCCATGCTCTCCTGTGAGCCGCCCTTTCCCAAGTGTGATTACAACGAGATCTCCGACCTTCTGCAGCAGGTATGGAACAAATGGTGACTATAACGAGACTGACCATTACAATTACCATTACCATTACCGTTACCGTTACCATTACCATTACCATTACCATTACCATTACAATTACCATTACCATTACCATTACCATCACCATCAGAACTACCATAACCATTACCATTATCATTACCACTACCATTACCATTACCATTACCGTTACGATTACCGCTACGATTAATGTTACGATTATCGTTACCATTATCGTTACCATTACCATTACCCTTACCATTCTCATTACCATTACTATACCCATTACCATTACAACTACCATTACCCATTACCCATTACCACTACCATTACCATTACCATTACCATTACCATTACCATTGCCATTACCATTACCATTACCATTACCGTTACCATTACCATTACCATTACCATTACCATTACCGTTACCATTACCGTTACCATTACCATTACCATTACCATTATCATTACCATTTCAATTACGATTACCATTACCATTACCATTACAATTACCATTACCATTACCATTACCATTACCATTACTATTACCATTATTAGACCTCTTGCTTGTTGCAGTTCGCGGACAGGTTCGAAAAGTGACATCTTGCGATTGAATTTACATCTGATTTCCGTTGAACTCAGCTTTCCTTCATCTCTCCCTTCCCTTCCATGTCTCCATCATTTCCCCCTAGTGTTGCTCACTCAGCCCCTCCTCCTCCTATCTCCTCCCATATCCGCATCCCCCAGGGCGTGCGCCCCAGTGCCCGCCCGACTTGGCGCATGTGCTGCGCTGCTGCAGGCCCTTGCTTACCCCCTCTTCCTCCATTCTCCCCTCTTCCCCCTCTCCACCCTCTCCCCCAACCCCAAGGGCGTGCGCCCCATCATCTCCCCCAAGTGCCCGCCCGACTTGGCGCATGTGCTGCGCTGCTGCAGGGAAGGCGCTTGCTCACCGCTCTCCCTTTCTTCCCCACTCTTCCCGCCTCTCTCCCCCCATCCCATCCCTCAGGGCGTGCGCCCCATCATCTCCCCCAAGTGCCCCCCCGACTTGGCGCATGTGCTGCGCTGCTGCTGGGAGGGCACCCCTTCATCCCGCCCCTCCATGCCGCAACTCATCGCCATGCTGCGCTCACTCAACGTCTTTGCCTCCCGCCAAGACGACCCTGCCAGGGACGCCAGGCTGGGAGCATCTGGTTCAGGGGATGCTGGCTTTCCCAGCAGCACCAGCAGCACTGGCAGGAGGAGTAGCAGCACCAGCAGCAGCAGCAGCAGCAGCAGCAGCAGCAAGCAGGCTGGTGGGGCAAGGAGTGGTGCGGATGAGAGAAGTAGCAGCAGCACTGCTGTGGGAGGCAGCATGAGTGATAACCGCCCGCAGAAAGGAGCCAAGCCGTCGCTCTTCACCTCACTCAGCTCTTCCATTGGCCGCTTCAGCTTCTCACGTGGTAGATCCCCGCAAGTGACCCTCCCTCCAGCATTCTCAACACCCTCACCAGCAGCATCACCATCAGCAGCACAATCAGCAACATCGCCTATGCCACTACCAACGTCGGCATCCGAGTCTGCTGCTGTCTCAGTGGCACGACCATCATCGGCAGTAGCGCCTTCAGCAGCGGCAGCAGCAGCAGCAGCAGCAGCTGCTGCTGTGACAGTGGCACGGGACGGAGAGGCGGTGAGAGAACCAGCTGGAAACATTGCTTTAAACGGCACGCTTGGTACAGTAACGACAAAGGGTCGCTCTGTAGAGAGTGCAGCTCAATCTGGCTGTCTAGGCCATGATTCTGCTGCCGAAAGTAGTGAAGTGACTGTCGAGGGCAACAGCGACATACAGCAACAACTAGCCTCCTCTGAGCCAACCCCCTCTGACCCAATTTCCTCTTCTCCCCACCTAAACACTCCCCCTCTCCCTCTCATACCTTCCTCCTCTCTTCCAAACAATCCACCCTCTCCTATACCTCCCGCATTCCTCCCCTCCCACACTACCACCCCCGCCTTCCTGCCTTCCCCTCCCTCCTCCCCTCTGCACTCCTCCCTCCCGCCCCCCTCTCCACACCCCTCCTCCCCCTCTCGCTCCTCTCACCCCTCCCCTTCCCCCTCCTCCTTCCCCCCTTCCTCGCCCTCTCCTGCCGCTTCTACCAGCCCAGCCGTATCAGCAGCAACAGCTGCAGGTGCTGCTGCTATCAGCACAGGAGGTGTGGGGGGCAGAGGGTACGCTATAGCAGGTCGGGTGGCTGGTGCTAGCCCTGCTGCTGCTGCCGCCACTGCCGCTGCGAATCCCGAGGCGGACCCTGAGGCTAGTGCCGGAGCTAGTCCCGAGGCTAGCACCGAAGATAGCACCGGGTGTGTGAAATGGGAAGGCGGATCGGCAGCAGAGAGCATTAGCCCTGTCGGCAGTACTAGGAGCATTGGGTGGGATGCAGGGGGGGGCATAACTGCACCTGCTGGGAATGCTAGCCCTGCAGGGAGCATTGGGAGCATGAGGAGTGTGGGGTGGGAGGGGGAGCTAGTGTCGCCTGCATGGAGTGGGGAGGCGGGGCAGGCATGGGTGGGGGAGCGACCGGTGTGGGAAATAAAGCTGAGGGACGTGGTTCTGAAGAGGGAGATTGCTAAAGGGTCGACAGGGACTGTGTACAAGGGCAAATACAAGGACTCCACTGTTGCAGGTATGGTCTTCTGAGTACGAAATTGACTTTCATTCACCGTCTAAGTATCAGCCCTCTCACTCTCTACTAGTGAATCCGTTCAGTTCAAAAAGCGACTGGGACTGTGCACAAGGGCGAGTACAAGGCTGCCCTGTTGCACAGTCCCAATCGCCAAGTCGGACAGTCCCAGTCCGTACGGACTGGTTCTCTCACATTCACCTTCTGAGTGTGAGCACTCTTGCGTTCACCATTTGACTACAGTACATCCCCTCTCACACACTCACCTGCACGGATCATCAGTGCTCGCGCCTGGTGCATTAGCGACGTCTCAAAAATCTTCTCCCCTCTTTCCTCCCACCCCCCACACTCACCTGCACCCACCACCAGTGCGCGTGGTGCCTTGGAGCGAGGTCGAAGGGGAGATGTCCGAAGGGGAGCAGTGGGAGCAAAGGCGGGCCAAGTTCTTAAGAGAAGTGACTATATGGAGACGACTCAAGCACCCCAATATAGTCAAGGTGAGATGTAATGCACCTCAAAACTCCTGGCACAGGAGGGCCAAGTTCCTAAGAGAAGTGACTATATGGAGACGGCTCAAACACCCCAATATAGTCAAGGTGATATTCTTTCGTCCCTGAACTCGTCTCATTTCGAGGCGCCTCAAAACTCGGAGCAGAGAAGGGCCAAGTTAGTAAGGAGTGGCTATATGGAGACGGCTCAAACACCCCAAAACAGTCAAGGTCAGCTCCACACGGCGCATCTTTTGACACGTCTCAAAATACCTGGACGCCCCACCTCCCTTGTCTTGCGCTATACCTTTTTCCCTTCAATTCAAGCAATACTTTTTTTCAGTCGTCTATCCCTCCCATCCCCGTGTTCCTTCCTTTCAGTTCATTGGAGCATCTATTCCCGAGCACCCTCAATTAGCGACCACCCCCACCACCACTGCCAGCACCAGCGCTGGTAGAGACGACGGAAAAGACAGGGAAAAAGAGGCAGACAGGGAAGATGGGGCAGGCAGGGAGAAAGGGGAGGAGAGAGAGAAAGGTGCGGAGAGGGATAAAGGGGCGGAGAGGGATAAAGGGGCAGAGAGGAATAAAGGGGCGGACAAGGAGAAGGGGCCACCAGACACGCGGTTCAAGGGCCATGCGTTGTGTGTGGTGATGGAGCATGTGGATTTCTGTAGCCTCAAGGAGTATCTTTTCCGGGCAGCCCGGGAACGGAGGAAGCTACCGATGCCGTTCATTGTGCATGTGGCGTTTGATCTGGCCAAGGGGTGAGTGAGTGAATGGGTGGGTGAGCAGGTGAGTGAGTAGCTGGGTGAGTGAGTAGGCGAGCGAGTGAGTGAATGAGTGAGCAAGAATGAGTGAGTGACATTTGTCCTGAGAATCTACTCACAACCGTCCCCCTGTTCCCCCACCCTTCCCTCTCGCGCTCCCCAACACGCTGTACCGGCCAGTCTGGCGTATCTGCACTCCCTGGGCGTGGTGCACGGCGACATTTGTCCCGAGAACCTGCTTCTGAGCAGCAAGCGCCGCCTCAAGATCGCAAGATTCGGGGCGGCACGAGTGGAGTCATCCCACCCGGTCAGCACCGCCACTGGCAGCTGCCGACGCACCCTCAGCTACAGCGCCCCTGAGGTATGCTTGATTTTCTTTAAGAACTCTTCTAGCGCCTCTGGGGTAGGTATATTGTCTCTTTAAGGGGCCTCAAATCTGCCAGCGCAGCCTTAGCTTAGCTACCACGCCCCGGAGTTGGTCCTGCCCTTCTGTCTGTCGCCTCTAGCTCTGCCATCTGTGTATAAGTGCAATGAAATCCCCCCCCCCCCCACCCCCCCCGCCCCCACCTCTCCCCGCACAACCCACCACCCCTCAGGTCCTTTTCTCCCAGCCCTACAACCACCCTGCTGACATGTACAGCTTTGGCTGCTGTCCCAGATGCAAACGCATGTCCTTCCTCCCTTCTCCCCTCACTTCCCCTCCCTCCTTCATCCCCTCACCATGCCTCCCTAGGTCCTCTTCCCCCAGCCCTACGACCGCACTGCTGATGTCTACAGCTTTGGCTGCTGTCCCAAATGCAAACGCATGTCCCTCCTCCCTCCTCCCCCTTCTTTTCCTCCCCCCTTCACCCCCCTCTCACTCACCCACCTCCCCCTTAGGTGCTCTTCTCCCAGCCCTACGACCGCTCTGCTGACGTCTACAGCTTCGGCATCTGCCTGTGGGAGCTCTACGCTCGGGAGGCCCCGTTCCCGAACCTAGACTTTGGGGAAGTTGCCGATGCTGTCAAGGAGGTGAGGGGTCAATGGGATGCTAAGGGGCAGGCAGGATCAGATGGAAAGGGGTGGGGATGAGGGTGATTTGCTACCTTTTGTTGTGGGAGGAGTCTTCTTTTCCGAACCTAAACATTGGGGGGGCGGGCCACGCATGGCGCCATACGTTTTGCCATCCCTCCTGTGCTACTCTGGTGCGCTTTCATTCCCCCCAGAGCTTCCATTCGCCACTGCCACGTGTGCGATCCCCTTTTTCACTCCCACCCTCCCCTCCCCTCTGCAGGGTGTGCGCCCCATTATTTCCCCCAAGTGCCCCCCTGACTTGGCCAATGTTATGCGCTGCTGCTGGGAGAACCTCCCTGCTGCACGCCCCTCGATTCCCCAAGTCCTTGAAATGCTGAAGAAGGTGAATGTCTTCGCAGGTAAATGAATCATGTTTTATATTATTTGTATCATTGTTCCTATATCTAGCTGCTCACCGCAAAGGTGGAAAGCTCACTAAGATGTGCATATTTTTTTTATTGTGGTGTAAAAAGCATGCATAATATGCCACAATTTCTCAAAACATTATGACTTGATTTGCTAGTTACGCTAATAGAGCTAACGAGCTGCACTGGTCTCGTGATTTCCACCAGTGCTGACCTCCAGCCAGAATGCGGCGCTTTTTCCTCGCCTCCCTGGACGCGGAAGATGTTTTTTGCGTGCATTCCAAGGGGCACCCCTCCCCCGCTTCCTCCCCCTGCCTGACATCAAACCTGCCTTGGGGGTTGGCGTCCCGTCCAGTCAAGCTGTCCGCTGAGCGTCCGTTGCGGTTCAGTAAGATTCGACACGGTGAACGCAACTTTGCGTTCGTAGACCCCAGGGACCGCGGCGCACCGTACGAAACCGAGGTGTGCAACAAAACCCGGGGGTTAGCGCGCGTGAGGGGGGGTCCATATCAAGCCTGCGTTCCCAAGGTTCATGCGGCGCATCGCCCCGCCAGTCTCGTGAAAGGTATTCCCTGTGTGCAAGTGCATTGCATTTTGCTGTCATGAAATCTTGGGTTGGGTGGGGTGGGGAACATGCAGTTGTGTTGATATATTGTTCAGGCTCTCCGTAGCTGTCTCTTTGGTGTTGACTTGGTTATTTAGTGAATCTCGAGCATCAGAGTCCGAACCACGATAATGCTATCGCGATTCGCGTCTTATCAACGGGGGAGTAACACGCGATTCGCGTCTTATCAACGGGGGAGTAACAAAATTGATCCTCTTGACATACATTTCCCAGAATAATTTCGGAGGGTATTTCCAGGTTTCGCATCTTAGCACTGGGTCTAGGAGAAGTCTAGAGTAGACGACAGGGAGACACCCTTACATCGAGACACCCTCGACTACGGTATTGTTAGGTGGTACCTCTCGCGGCGTGGATTACTTTAATTTCGTCGCCGGGAAGAGCCGAGCCTTGACAACGTAACGCTAACAATAACTATCCACCCAAGTACACTTAACTCGGCTAGTGGTTGGTGCCGCGGTCAAACTATTTGTAACATTCACGGCACCGCGATACCTGCACATTTGGAACACAGACTCTAAATTTGAAAGCGTCTCTTTGAAACTTGTAAACGCGGACACGCGCGCGAGCGATGGCTTGACTGCACGGGCTTCGTCCCTAAGCGCAGGCCGCGCGTTTCGATCACAACAATCAGAACCAAATTTTTTGCTCAACCATCAGACATGGCCACAGGAACCGCGGAATCTGACGGGGTGCTGCAACGCGTGCGAACCGATCCCTCCAATCGAGTCAAAGACGAAACAACCGAATTCGGAACTGGGGATTCCTGGCTGGGTAGGTCGTATTCGGTGCAGGTGGGACGCGGCAGCGATGCAGACTCAGGGGAAGCAGCGGAAGCAGCGGAAGCAGGGGGAGCGGGGGGAGCGGGGGGAGCGGGGGGAGCAGGCGGAAGGAGGCGGCGGTCGGAGAGTTCCCTGGGGGTGAACATCGCAGCGCTGGATAAGGCGTTGGACCGAGTCATGTCCATGCCCTGGCGCCGCGAGAAGAAGGCGGGCGACGGCGACGGAGGCCTAGGATTGGGAGCCGCATGGCAGGAGAAAGCGGAGCAGAACGGGAAGCATGTGCTGGGTAGGGCGCGTTCACATGGAAACGGGGAGGGGAGTTCCGTTCTGGCGGCTGCTGCGGCCGCCGTTGCAGCCGTTCGCAGTGACGGTGACGCGGTGGGCTTAACGACGGGTTTGCCACTAACCAAATGCGGTAAAGAGACGTGCGCGAAGGACGCGACGAGTAAGGAGCGGTGCGCGGAGGTGGAAGAGGGTGCGGATGGGCGCCGGGGCGAAGGCGACGTTGCTGTAGCGTCGTGGCAGGTTGATTTACGGCGAGTGACTATAAAGAAGGAGATTTTCAGGGGCGCGTACAGCACGGTGTACAAGGGCACCTTCAGGGACATGGATGTTGCAGGTACGCCCTCTTTCTCCTCACGTAAGCCCTCTTTCTCCTCTCCTCTGTTGTCCCTTCGCCACCCCCTTCTTTGTCGAATCACTTCGTTTCTCCCCCTGTCTCACGTACTTCGTCTGTCCACCCCATATCTTCGCTGTTGGAAGTAAACAAATCGCAATTCTCACTGCCACCCCCTGGCCCCTGCTTCCTGCCTGTTCTCTCACCCTCTCTCTGTCTTTCACCCCTCTCACTCACCCCCCTCTTCCTCCCCTCTCGCTCAACCACTCTCTCGTTCTACCGAGTTCTCTCACCCGTGGCCGCCTTTCGTCATGCCGTCACTCCCTTACGCCCTCCCTCTCTCCGCTACCCTCCCCGCGAGTGCGTGCAGTGAAGGCCATCGACTGGGGGGAAGCAGGGTCGTTCTCGCCCGTGCTGCGCGCCAAGCAGAGAGCCGCGCTGCTGCGCCAGGTGCACGTGTGGCGGGGCCTCAAGCACCCCTACGTGACTCAGGTGAGACAGAGGTCGACGCTCAAGTCGGCTTGTGAGAGGTCGAAGCACACGCACACACATACGTACACACATGGGAGAGGAGAGGATTCATGTATTCCTGTTCTTGCCCCACGCTCAGGAGCGCGCTCAGGGCCCGTCTCATCCTGACACCTGACTAAGAGGGGTGTGGTGAGGTGTCTGCACGATGACTTAATGACCCTCAAGAATCTTACCACTGCAGCGTATTTCCCTTGCCGAAGCCCTCTCCTTATTGAATTAGCTCTTCTGCGTCGCCCTTCCCCCATTCCCTCACGCCCTCCCTCCCACGCAGCTGGGGCCAGCAAGTGTGTCCGCGGACTCTACTCGCTGCACCACTCCCCGCGGCGTGGATGCGCGCCTGAGGGGCGCGGCGGGGTGCCTAATCATGGAATACGTGGGGGACCTGACTCTCAGAGTGTAACCCCCACTCCCTCCCCCCATCCCCATGTTTGCACATCCAGCTTCTAGCAGCGAGTGTGTCAGCGTACGCTGCCCGCTGCACCACCGTTGAATCTCCCCCCCCCCTTGCTCCACTCCACGCCCACCCTCCCGCACAGCTGCTAGCAGCGAGTGTGTCTGCGGACTCTACCCGCTGCACCACGCCCCGTGGTGTGGATGCGCGTTTGAGGAGCGTGGCGGGGTGTTTGATCATGGAATACGTGGGCGACCTGACCCTCAAGGAGTATGTGGCTCGCGCTGCCAGGGAGAGGAGGAAGCTGCCGCTGCATATGGTCGTGGAGCTGGCTTTGCAGCTCGCCAAGGGGTGAGTGTGGGAGTGGGTTGAGGGGAGTGGCGGGGTGACTTAAACTGGAGCTCGTGGGAGGTCTGACGCTCAAGGAGTATCTCTCTCGCGCTGCCAGGGAGCATCGCAAGCTGCCGCTGCACATGGTCGTGGAGCTGGCTTTGCAACTCGCCAAGGGGTGAGTGATGGGAGGGAGGGAAGGGGGTTTGGAGCGTGGCGGGGTTCGTCATATTGGAATATGTGGGCGACCACGGAGTATCTCGCTCGTGCTGCCAGGGAGAGGAGGAAGCTGCCACTGCACATGGTGGTAGAGCTAGCATTGCATTGCAACTCGCCAAGGGGTGAGTGAGGGCGGGAGGTGTGGGGCGTGGCAGGGTGTAATGCCAGCTTGTTACGGGGTGCTTCGTGATGGAGTTCCTGGAAGGCTTGACCCTATCTATCTCGCTGTGCTTCCAAGGAGAGAAGGAAGCTGCCTCTGCACATGATGGTTGAACTTGCCTCGCAACTCGCCAAGGGGTGAGTGAGGGAGGGAGGGAGGGAGAGGGGTGTGGGGCGTGGCAGGGTGCCTCGTGATGGAGTTCCTGGGAGGCTTGACCCTATCTATCTCGCCGTGCTGCCAGGGAGTGGCGCAAGCTGCGCTGCACATGCTGGTAGATGCAGCAGAGCAGCTCGCTAAGGGGTGAGTGAAGGGAGGAGACGGGGTGAAAGGGGACTGTGGTGAAAGTGTGTGATTCACTTGAGTAAGCCGGTATCCCGGTATCCCAGCTTTCACGGTATCCCGGTATCCCGGTTTCCCGGTTTCCCAGTTTCCCGGTTTCCCGGTTTCCCGGTTTCCGGTTTCCCGGTTTCCCGGTTTCCCGGTTTCCCGGTATCCCGGTTTCCCGGTTTCCCGGTTTCCCGGTTTCCCGGTATCGTGGTTTCCCGGTATCGTGGTTTCCCGGTTTCCCGGTATCCCGGTATCCCGGTATCCCGGTTTCCCGGATTCCCGGTTTCCCGGTTTCCCGGTTTCCCGGTTTCCCGGTTTCCCGGTATCGTGGTTTCCCGGTTTCCCGGTATCCCGGTTTCCCGGTTTCCCGGTTTCCCGGTATCCCGGTTTCCCGGTTTCCCGGTATCCCGGTATCCCGGTTTCCCGGTTTCCCGGTATCCCGGTTTCCCGGTATCCCGGTATCCCGGTTTCCCGGTTTCCCGGTTTCCCGGTTTCCCGGTATCCCGGTTTCCCGGTTTCCCGGTTTCCCGGTTTCCCGGTTTCCCGGTTTCCCGGTTTCCCGGTTTCCCGGTTCCCGGTTTCCCGTATCCCGGTTTCCCGGTATCCCGGTATCCCGGTTTCCCGGTATCCCGGTATCCCGGTATCCCGGTATCCCGGTTTCCCGGTTTCCCGGTATCCCGGTTTCCCGGTATCCCGGTATCCCGGTTTCCCGGTTTCCCGGTTTCCCGGTATCCCGGTATCCCGGTTTCCCGGTATCCCGGTTTCCCGGTATCCCGGTATCCCGGTTTCCCGGTTTCCCGGTATCCCGGTTTCCCGGTTTCCCGGTTTCCCGGTTTCCCGGTTTCCCGGTTTCCCGGTTTCCCGGTTTCCCGGTTTCCCGGTTTCCCGGTATCCCGGTTTCCCGGTATCCCGGTTTCCCGGTATCCCGGTATCCCGGTTTCCCGGTATCCCGGTATCCCGGTATCCCGGTATCCCGGTTTCCCGGTTTCCCGGTATCCCGGTTTCCCGGTATCCCGGTATCCCGGTTTCCCGGTTTCCCGGTTTCCCGGTTTCCCGGTTTCCCGGTTTCCCGGTATCCCGGTATCCCGGTATCCCGGTATCCCGGTTTCCCGGTTTCCCGGTTTCCCGGTATCCCGGTTTCCCGGTTTCCCGGTTTCCCGGTTTCCCGGTTTCCCGGTTTCCCGGTATCCCGGTTTCCCGGTTTCCCGGTTTCCCGGTTTCTCGGTTTCCCGGTTTCCCGGTTTCCCGGTTTCCCGGTTTCCCGGTTTCCCGGTTTCCCGGTTTCCCTGTTTCCCGTTTTCTCGGTTTCCCGGTTTCCCGGTTTCCCGGTTTCCCGGTTTCCCGGTTTCCCGGTTTCCCGGTTTCCCGGTATCCCGGTTTCCCGGTTTCCCGGTTTCCCGGTTTCTCGGTTTCCCGGTTTCCCGGTTTCCCGGTTTCCCGGTTTCCCGGTTTCCCGGTTTCCCTGTTTCCCGTTTTCTCGGTTTCCCGGTATCCCGGTTTCCCGGTTTCCCGGTTTCCCGGTTTCCCGGTTTCCCGGTATCCCGGTATCCCGGTTTCCCGGTATCCCGGTTTCCCGGTTTCCCGGTTTCCCGGTTTCCCGGTTTCCCGGTTTCCCGGTTTCCCGGTATCCCGGTATCCCTGCATCCAGGTATTCCATTGACCACCTAGTCACCCCTAGCCCCACATACAAAGCCTTCCTACATCCTCTTCTCCCCCCTTCAGCCTGGCCTACATCCACAGCGGCGGCGTGGTGCACGGGGGCGTGTGCCCCAGACAACCTGCTGCTCACGGATCACGTCATCTCTTCCCGTCCCCCCTCCCCTCTCCTTCCCTGGCTGGCCTACATCCACAGCAGCGGCGTGGTGCATGGAGACGTGTGCCCCGACAACCTGCTGCTCACAGATCGCAGGCGCCTCAAGATCGCCCCTTTCACCCCCAACCCCACACCCACCCACCCTTCCGCTCCCCTTCTTCTGGCCCCTCCAGTCTGGCCTACATCCACAGCAGCGGTGTGGTGCAAGGGGACGTGTGCCCGGACAACCTGCTCCTCCCTTTCCCCATTCACCCCTACCCCACACCCTTTTTACCCCTCCTCCTGCCTTCTCAGTCTGGCCTACATCCACAGCAGCGGTGTGGTGCATGGGGACGTGTGCCCCGACAATCTCCTCCTGACGGACCGCAGGCGACTCAAGATCTCCGGCTTTGGCGTCGCGCGCTTCGAAGCAGAGTGCAAGGCGCGTGGCCGCGGTGGCACACAGTGCATTGATAACTCTGGGGCTGCTGGGGATAGCTGTGGGAGTGAGGCAGGCAGCTCTGGCAGTGCTGGAGTGAATGGGGATTCTCAAAAGGGAGCTGGGGTGGCTGGGAGCGAGGCAGAGGGGGAGGCAGGGGCACAGGCAGAGGCAGAGGCAGGGGCAGGGGCAGGGGCAGGGGCAGGGGCAGGGGCAGGGGCAGGGGCAGGGGCAGGGGCAGGGGCAGGGGCAGGGGCAGGGGCAGGGGCAGGGGCAGGGGCAGGGGCAGGGGTAGAGGCAGGGGCAAGGATACTGAGGGATTTGCAGGATGTGACTCGGGATGGACAACGGGCGGAGAGGCGTGAAGTAGGGCAAGATGCGGAGGTGGTGAGAGGACAGGTAGAAGAGGCTGGGGAGGCGAGAGAGGGGAATGGGGGAGGAGAGGGAGGAAGGGGAGAGGAGGCAGAGGAGGGTGTGGTGGGAGGGGGTGGGGAAGGAGGGGAGGCAGGGGGAGTGCAGCAGGGGGACGGATGGTTGCCTCATGACGCCAGTGGGGAGACAGGTTCAGTGGGGTACATGGCTCCTGAGGTGCGTTGCTTTGGCTGAGGCGATTAACAAGTGGAGAGGGTTTAGATGGTCAGATTGTTGCCCCATAACGCCAGTGGGAACACGGGGTCCGTGGGATACATGGCTACTGAGGTGCGTTGCTTGTGTGTGCTGATAACGGTGGGGAGGGTTCAGATAGCCAAACTGGTTCCTCATGACGCCAGTGGGAACACGGGGTCCGTGGGATACATGGCTCCTGAGGTGCGTTGCTTTCGCTGTTACACAAGCTAGATTCAGGCAGATACCACCGTGCTGACACTTACAGATTTACCATGTGCCTGTGCGCGGTGAGAGAGCATCCAGAGGCAGAGGCAGAGGCAGAGGCAGAGGCAGAGGCAGAGGCAGAGTGATGCTCTCTCACTCACTGCCTTGTGCTCCCCCTCAGGTGCAACCCCTCCTTTCTGAATTCCACCCTCTCAGGTGCTAGCTGGTCTGCCATACGACCGCCGTGCTGACGTGTACAGCTTTGGCATCTGCCTGTGGGAGCTGCTGACGTGTGAGACCCCGTTTGACTCGTTTGACTTCAGCGAGATGGCCTCCGCCATCAGTGAGGTGAGTCTTTCTGCACTGCTGGCATGAGGTGAAACCTGAGTCAATGATAAAAGACCCCGTTTGACTCGTTTGACTTCAGCGAAATGGCTTCCGCAATCAGGGAGGCGAGCGCCTTTCCTCAACTCCTCCTCCCTCTCCACAGTTACCCCGAGCGTGTGCCTCACCTTCCCCTCAACTGCCCCAACACAGGGAAAGCCAGGACAGAGTCTTGTTGTTCACTCCCCCCACCTCCTCCTTGTCTTCCCCACACCTATCCTCCAAGGCTTGTGCCCCATCATCCTCCCCTCCTTTTCCCCAGCTATCTGGCGTGTGTCATGTGCTGCTGAAAAGGTCCTTGTTCCTTTCCGCACTCCCGCTCTTCCCTCCTCCCCGCCTCCTCTTACCCCATCTCATCCTGCCCCACAAGTGCCCTCTTGACTTGGCACACACGTCATGAGGTACTGCTGGGAGGGCACCCCTGTTCACTTCCCACTCTCTCCCTACTCCCCTCCTCTCTAACGTTCTCCCTCCTCCACCCTATGCCACAGGGCGTGCGCCCCATCCTGCACCACAAGTGCCCCCATGACATCGCACGAGTGATGCGGTGCTGCTGGGAGGGCTCCTCTGCTGCTCGCCCCTGTTCCCCACCGTCCCCACTTCCCCCCTTTTCCTCCCACCATCCCATCCCACAGGGTGTGCGACCCATCCTGCCCCACAAGTGCCCCCTTGACTTGGCACGTGTCATGCGGTGCTGCTGGGAAGGCTCCTCTGCTGCACGCCCCTCCATGCCGCAAGTCATTGCCATGCTGGACAAGGTCAATGTGTTCAGTGGGAAAGAAATCCCTGTATACAACATCTGAGCTGCTTCTGAGAGGTCTTACACTCGAATGCCCCTCCATGCCGCAAGTCTTAGCCGTGCTTCAGAAGGTCAATGTGTTCAGCGGGGAAGAGATATGGTACCTGTATACAACATCTGAGTTGTGTTTTGGAAGGTGCTCGTCATGTGAGCTGCTGTTGACAATGCTAGAACACCCCTCCATGCCGCAAGTCATTGCCATGCTTGACAAGGTCAATGTCTTCAGTGGGAAAGAAATCCCTGTATACAACATCCGATCCGAGCCGCTTTTCAGCAGTGCGCCTCCATGTTGCAAGTCAAATTTGTTTAGTGGGAAGTGGATTCCTGTGCACATTTAGCAGCTACACTCGATGAGGGTTATGATATACATAATTTGCTGAATTGTGTTCATAACATAACTACAGAGGACATATTGAGTGTAGGCGCAATTTTGCAGAACTTTCTTGTGCTGACATGCTGCTTAATCAATAAATTACCAACCTAAAACGTCAGTCAGACACAAACAATCCCCGCTTTCTACCAGTGTGACTGTACCAAATTTCGAACAAACTGCTCAGCTTTATCCCGTTCACCTTCCTTAAGAACCAAGCGACACTAAACAGTGTAGTGTGCACTGATCTTGGCGCTAAAAACACTCCCAGGTTCCTGTTACTGCGCGCTGCTACCACCAAACGGTTATACACAGTATAACCCACGGAAAAAACAGCATCCAGCTCTCGTTGCGAGCAGTAGTGGTGCCTCCACCTCACATTGTCCCACGCCCGCTCCCGTGCCAGTACACTTGCTCTTTTTTGCAAAATCTGCCCGTCAAGGCACCTTTGCGAGTACACTTGATCCTCGCTAGGGAGCTGCTGCTCGTACTGTATGAAGCGCCAGTCGAAGAAGGAATGGAAGAGGAAGAGGGGCGTGGAGACCTGTGCGAGGGTGTGCTCGGGGAAGAAACAGACCCAGTAGTCTCTCACTGGTGCTCCTGAGGGGCGTGGAAGCAGGGGGAGAGGGAAGGAATGGAAGAGGAAAAGGGGCGTGAAGACCTGTGCGAGGGTGTGTTGGGGGAAAAAGCACATCCAGTAGTCCCTCACTGGTGCTCCTGAAGAAAGTTGGAGCAGAGGAAAGGTGGGGGGCGGGTGTGCGGGAGAGGGAGTAGGGAAGCAAGATTATGACTGAGTGTTTGGGGAATAGCAGACCCAGTTGTCCCTCACTCATGCTCCTGCTTGGGAGGGAACGGAGGAGAGAGAAAGGGAGCCTTGTGTTGCCTCAGGAGGAAGCTCAGGAGAAATGCTTACTGAGGCATGCTGCTTTTATGTAAGACTTCCTTGTGTTCCTTAACTTGCGTTGCTTCAGGAAGCTAAGGAGGAATGCTTACTGAGACGTGCCGCTTTTATGTAAGAACCAGAGAAGCCGTCAAGGAATTGGGGAAGTCAACCACCAACCACCTCCCGTATGGGATTTTTCAAAAGTGGTTTCATTTCTTGAAAAGAAACATGTTCTTCACGCATTTTTTCACTTGGTGGAGTGCCATTTTCTGTTTTCACCTGGTGGGGTGCCATTTCTGTTTTCACCTGGTAAGTAGTATGCTCGTGCTGTTTTCACCTGCAGGACATCTGGGGACTTCAATGCGGTGCAGAGCGGTGACCTGCCGAATGTATTCCCGCCATGAGTACACCCCAAAGCGGTCCTTAGCGTCTGCAGGGGAGGAAAAGGGGAGGAAAGTGGGAGGGGAGAAAGGGGAGGAAAGGGGGAGGGGGAAGGGGTGACATGGGGAGAGGGGGGAAAAGGGAGGAAGAGGAAGAGGGAGGGAAGGGGCACCCTGTCGGCCTAGGCTACATATTTATGCGACATGCTCACCAACAAAGAAGCACGAGTCAGCAAGACACTATGTTGAGTCAGCACCAACATTTGCGCTGCGCTCACCAGCAAAGAAGCCGGAGTCGGCGAGGCACTACACCAGAGAAAGCTCACCAATAAACCACAGCGCTCACCAACGAAGAAGCCCGAGTCGGCAAGGCACTTGGAGGAGGCGCGGGGGAAGGCAGCAGCGAGGCGGTCGCAGTGCATGATGATGGCATGGCCGCCCGCTGAGCTGCCCGAGAAGAGCACGTGTGACGCCGCCCCCATGCCCCTCCGCGTGCGCAGGTCTGAGGGATGAATGGTGAGAGGGGAATGGCGACATACTTCACATCACATCACATCACATCACATCACATCACATCACATCACATCACATCACATCACATCACATCACATCGCATCGCATCGCATCGCATCGCATCGCATCGCATCGCATCGCATCGCATCGCATCGCATCACATCACATCACATCACAGAATCTGCTACCCCTGCATGTACACAGTCCCGCCCCTTCCTTTACCTCCCCGCTTCTCACCAGTGATAATATTATCCAGAATTTGCCGCCCCTGGACAGTTACGCCCCCACCCCCCGCAGGTCTGCCTTCCCCATTCCACTCTCCCCCTTCTCACCAGTGATAATATCATCCAAAATCTGCCGCCCCTGCATGTAGACAACGGCGCCCTCCCCCAGGTCCGCCCTCCCCCGCGTGCTGCTGTAGGCGCCACCATCACAGTACACCACCCACACCAGGTTCCACGAGTAAAACGCGGGGTTGGCTGTGCTATCGTGGGATAACAATCCGCCTAACTGGGGATAGGACTCCGATGCCTGGTGGGGGAGAAGAGAGAGGAGAGGGAGAGCGGAAGTTGACTTTTGAGTCAACTCACCACCCACACCAGGTTCCACGAGTACAACGCGGGGTTGGCTGTGCTATCGTGGGATAACAGCCCGCCCAGCTGTGGGTAGGACTCGGTTGCCTGGTGACAGGGTACGGTGGGGAGGGGTGAGGTGGAGTTGGGTGAGGTGCAATGCGGTGGAATGAGATTCTCAGGCGCCACCATCACAGTACACCACCCACACCACAGAACGACTCTTCTGGGATGAGTGAGTGAGGGGGAGAGCGGAGGGGGAGAGCGGAGGGGGAGAGCGGAGGGGGAGAGCGGAGGGGGAGAGCGGAGGGGGAGAGCGGAGTGAGAGCGCACGCATGCTTGAGTTGTCCAGTCGTCCAGTGTTGGGAGGGCACGGATGCACTCACGCATGCACTCACGCATGCACTCACGCACGCACTCACGCATGGACTCACGCATGTAGACGGGTGTTGAGGGGGAGAACGAGTGAGAGGGGGACCGGCGCGAGAGCGCACGCACGCATGCACTCACGTTGTTGATTTTTCCGCCGTTTTCAATGACGGCGGGGAGGCGCGTGGCCCAGAAGCGCGAGGAACCGAGCGGGGAGTTGGCGCGGTCGCGGCACTCTTCCGGGGAGAAGCACCATCCGCCCGTGGGGAGATGCACGTGCCACTTGCGCCTCCCCGCGCCCGCGCCCGCGCGGAAGTAGTACGCGGGGGAACTGGGCGGCGGGAAGTGGATGGGAGGGAGGGGGAGAGAAGAGGGGTTGGGAAACGGAGGGTACGGGAGGTGAGTGGAAGAAACGAAGGACGAGGGGATGAATCAGAAGACAGAGGGGAAGTTCGTTGATGGAGAGAGCGACTACACGACCTAGAAGTTCCAATCACCGTCCGAAAGCATGGTGCGCAATGTATACGTAACGGGTAAAAAAATATACACACCTCCCGTCGAGGCATTTTGAGTTGTACGCGTTACTAGGCAGGAAGACGAGGCGAGTGGCGGATTTGAACCGATTCGCTGGCTGCACCCCGCCAATGGAGAGAGGTAACGCGAGGAGCAGCGCGAGCAACAGCGGGAGGACTCTTCGTAAGGGGGAGAAATCGGGGACAGCGGCGAGCAACATGACCGCCGCAGAAATTGGCGAAGAGATCGCCAAAGACGTTTTTTACGTGAGAGATCGTTGATTAATTTATGGTTTTCTAGCCTCCGGAGTTCCGACGTTCAACCCGACACGTGCCTGGTCGCAAAAGTCAAGCGGGTCAAATCAGGTCAAGCGGGTCAAGCGAGGAACTCCGTCGCGTCGGCCGATGCGAGTGGTGAAGTTGCCAATGGCTCTTTTATGGCGTTCATGCCGATCCGGCGTTCCCGCTGCGCAACTTAGTCTGGCCGAGTGTGGTTGAGTGAAATGTTCCGCGTTCTAGCGCGGATCGATGCTTTGCGTTTCAGAAAATCTAGGAATAAAGGGTAACGCTATCGATAACTACGATCGCCGCAGCTACCGTGCCGCTGTATGGCAAGTAATCCGGCGAACCGGCGAAATAGCAATAGAGGATGGAGCAGCGGAAGCAGAATCAGTTGGGTGGGTGGGCGGCGAACGAAAGTCGCGACGTTGAAGCGGAAGTGGAGTGGAAGGCAGGGGAGGAAGGGAGACGAATAAGATGGTACAGAAGGGCTAAGCTCAATAACACCAGAACTCCTCCAGGTTTTGTTGGTTTGAGAAGGGTAGGGCTGGGTATTATTGTCGCTGAACGCGGGCCAAGTGGAATGCGCACAGATGCGAACAGGGACCTATGTGCATTCTGTACATTTGCAGGCGAGGGCGGCGCGACAAAAGTTCGCTTCGCTACTGGCGCATAGTGACTAAACACGCTGACGCTGTACTAAAGGCCTCGATCAGGCTTCATACGTGTAAACGTACAAGCTGAGTATAAATGAACACAAAGGACTAAAATCAACTTTTGACTAGTGAAAACCAGGTTAACAACTACAAATCCTATTCGTGCAGGAAAAATCCCTTATCTCTGGCTAGGAACCATCTATTGAATATCCTGTTCAGTTTTGGCGATCCAATGTAAGCCCTGAACCAGCTCAAATACACCATCACCGTATGCCCCGTTCCCGGCACTAGCATCACCCCCAAATTCCTCTTTCTCCGCGTCGCTCCCGCCAAACACCTATACGCCACAGCAGCCATCGAGAATACTGCGTCGACCTCCTGAGGCAAACAGAAAGCCGGGTTTGGCGGGAGGAGTCCCCCCCACGCATTCTTGCGTGCCACGGCACTGGCGTTTGGCAGGAGAATTTGCTTGCTCAGACAGTTTGCGGCGTACAGGAAATTGGTTGGCAGCTGATTTTCCAGGCGAGCTAAGCCACTGTCGAAGTGAAACTGGAAGAGGAAGAGGGGTGTGGTGACATGAGGGAGGGTGTGTTCGGGGAAGAAGCAGACCCAGTTGTGTCTTGCTCCTGAAAGGTGGGGGGAAGAGAGGGTGCGTTGAGTCGTCCTGAAGTCACCCTGAGTCAACTCAAAAGTCAACCAGATGATTTTCGTTTACACCAGAGACATACATGGTAGTGTTATTTTCACCTGAGAACCACCAGCTAGCCCCAGTTTCAGCTTAGGAATCGCCTCATCCGTTGCTTTCACCTGCTGGGCAGTTCCGGACGTTGATGTGGTGCAGAGCGGTGAACGCCCGAATTTTCTTTCGCCAATAGTGCTGTCCAAAGCGGTCCTTGGCATCTGGCAGGCGGTAGCAGGAAAGGAGGGATAATCGTGAAGTCCTCGAATCATTATAGAGGCTACGTCTTCCCAGTCACAAATCAGTCAAGATAGGGCAATCGGAACCTATCACAGCGCTGCGCTCACTGACCAACAAAGAAGCCCGAATCAACGAGGCAGGTGGCTTGGGCGCGGGGGAAGGCAGCAGCGAGGCGGTTGCAGTGCATGATGATGGCATGGCCGCCCGCTGAGCTGCCCGAGAAGAGCACGTGTGACGCCGCCCCCATGCCCCGCCGCGTGCGCAGGTCTGCCATGGTGGGGGTGAAAGAGAGAGAGAGAGCGGAGAGGAGAATTTAGAATCGAGTTGTAATACACGAGAATGTGGGAGGTCGCCCCCATGCCCTGCGTGCACAGGTTTGGATTGGAATGCGAGGGTGAATGAAAGAGAGAGAGAAAGGAGAAGGAGCTCTGATAATCAACATCAAATTTCTCCCTCTTCCCTTCTAACTCCTCCATACGCAGATATGTCCGCCCCTGAGTCCGATGTCTCCTCTATTCCCTCCTTAGCCATTCTCTCAGCCATTTAATTTCCCCATAGTACATCATTTTCCCTCCCTGTCACCCTTCCCCAGCGAACCATGAAAAATTGCGGCCAATATCGCCTGCCCCTGCATGTACACAGATGCGCCCTCCCCCAAATCCGCCCTCCCCCGCGTGCTGCTGTAGGCGCCACCATCACAGTACACCACCCACACCAGGTTCCACGAGTAAAACACGGGGTTAAATAGCTTGCTCCGCGATAGCAGGCCCCCCAGTTGAGGGTAGGCGACCTTAGCCTGGTGAAAAGGTAGGGTACGGTTGGGTGGGGTGGGGGGTGGTGGGGAGGGGTGGGGTGTGGTTGGGTGGGGTGGGGTGTTTCTCCAGGTGTCTCAGACATTGCCTTTTGAGGCAGGGAACAATGGGTTTCGGTGTGGAGGGAAGGGAAGGGGCCGACACAAGAATGTTTGGCCCTTCGTACTATGAACCTGTAGGTTTTGCTACAATCAATTTACTCTATATCGCTTTGTATCTACAATGTAGCAAAACCTATAGGTACATAGTACGAGAGCCAAACAATTTTGGGATGCCGCAAGGAGCAGCAGTGAGGAAACAGAAGGCATGACATGAGAAAGAAGGCATGATATGAGAAAGAAGGCATGATATGACGCATGCAAGAGGCATGGGATACGAAATGGGGGCAAGTGAGGAAGCGGGGAACTCGCATTTCTCACTGCTCCACCGTTTTCAACAGCCGCAGAAATTTGTGTGGCCCAGAAGCGCGAGGAGCCGAGGGGGGAGTTGGCGGTGTGAGCGGGAGAGGCTGGAGGGAGGGAAAGAGCACACTCAACTCACAGTTGGCATCTCTCGGCCGTTCTGGCCCAGAAGCGCGAGGAACCGAGAGGGGAGTTGGCGCAATCGTGGCAGTCCCCCAGGGAAGGGGAGCGGGGGAGTGCGAAGCGGAGAGAGAGGGGGGCTATGCTTACGTGGCTCTAGAGATTCAGATGCCACTCACGTTGTTGATCCCCCCGCCGTTTTCGACAACGGCGGGGAGGCGTCGTGCCCAGAAGCTCGAGGAGCCAAGGGAGGAATTGGCGGAGTGAGCGGGAGTGGCGGAGGGAAAGGGCACCCAACTCACATTTGCCACTGCTCCACCGTTTTCAACGATGGCGGGGAGGCGTGTGG